TTATTGTGACTCGGGCTACAGGAACACTCTCTGTACATGGAGCTGTCAGCTGAGCACCTCCCCCAGCGCTCTCCAGTGAGGTTCAGTCGAAGAAATGTTTGTGTGCATAGAATTACCACTCTCCAGTTATTCACCAGGATAATAAACAGAGGGATAACTATTAACCAGGAACCGCAGGAACAGGCAGGATCACTCACAGACACCGGTGTCCATCTGTGCAGGGGGGGCTGTGCTCTGCAGGGAACGGCCGTGGCCCCACACGGGGCTCAGCCTCAGGACTGGGGTGTTTGTCGCCGGCCCCGTGCCCGTGTTGGATTGTCACACTGCTCAGACACTGCAGGAGAGGGGAGCCACGGCCACGGGTCCCTCTGTGCTCTTCCCAGTGACCAGCCACAGCCGGGTGTCCTGCCGAGGTGAGGAAGATGATGGTGTATTGCTGCTGGAAGCTGGTGCCTGTGCCACTGGAGGGTTTGCTCCACGCACTGATTCACAGTGGCAGCAGCAGCTCTTCAGCCGTTATCCAGAGCCAGAGGAAAGTCCACTCCCACCCGTGGCATTCCTGGCCACCGCAGTGTCCCAGGCGCTTGCCCACGCTCTTCTGGCTTGGGGGGCTCCCTGAGCGCCTCGAGATCTTTGCTCCTTTCCACTCGCCTCCTCCAAGGCCTCTCGTCACTTGTGCTGCCCCACTGCTCGGGCAAACCACAGGCCAGGGCAGTGCCGGGCTCACGGTGCAGACCAGGGGGGCAGCTCCGTGTGCCGGTGCTGCCCCATCCACTCCGTGCCATCGCCGCCGGCTGCTCCAGCTGCTCCCTTCCCGTGGGGCTCCAGCACACAGCTCCAGTGCAGGAACTCCGCTGCCATCTCCCAGCACGGGTCTGTCCCTCCGAGTCGGCTCTCAGCTCACGCAGCACAAAGTGTCTCCCCGGGCAAACCCCTGATGCCGGGCTGGGTGCAGGGACGCTGGCAGGGGGACAGGAGACATCCAGACCACTCTGGCTGTGAGGACGAACACAGAGCCCGTATTCTCCGGGGCTTCCACCAGCGCTCACGTGGAAAGAAAAGCCGCTTTATGCAGCCCATAAACTTCTCATCCACCCACCACGGCTCTGCTCCGGCCTGCGCCTCTGCATCCCGACCTGACCCCTTGGCGGGCGCTGCTCTGGCCCTCGGTGACGCTCTGGACTCTGAAACGCCTTGTACGTCTGCGGGCAGCCACCTCTGCATCACCTAAAAGACACCGGGGGGTTTGTGTGCAGGAGAGGAAGGAAAACAGCAAGCAAAAATAGGGCCTGGCTCTTTCATTCACGCATTTATTGGGTGGGCTGTGGTCAGCTGGGCTTCGGGCTTTACAGACGGGGATATTTATAAGGCCCGCGGAGCGGCTCGGCGTGCGCGTCCGACTCATTCCTTCCCGGCACAAGGTATAATGTTGCCTTTGTTCGGCTGCCCCCGGCACAGCGGAGCGTGCCGTGCCGTGCCGTGCCGTGCCGTGCCGTGCCGCTCGGCCGGGCCCCTCACCCTGCTCCCCGCTCCGGCAGCCCCGGCACGGCCCCGCTCCTTCCACACACACACACCACGGCCCCGGCAACTGCCACGATAAATCAATAGGAGAGGAGAGGCTGCCAGTTAGACTAAACAAGTGCATTTGCAAGGATTGCTAACCCTCATTAATCACTCTGACAGTCCTAAAAACACATTTCCCCTTTAATGACTGTATTTGGATAATCAGAGCTTTTTCCTCGCAGCGCGGGGTGAGTGACGGTGGGCGCGGCTGCGGCGAGCGCCGGCACCGGGGTCACCGGCGAGTCAAGTGCTGGAGGTCCCCGGCAGCTCGGGGTGAGCTGGAGAAGGTGCTGCTGTGCCACGGGGAAAGGAGCCACCAGCACGGCCCCAACCCTGCTGTCCCCACGCCCGACACCCACCGGTGTCCTCCCAGCCCCAGCTGGGTTTGAAAAGGCCTTTTTTCTGTCACTCCGCGTTCCCTTTAGGTGACTTTTGCCTCCTGGAGAGGTTTGAAACCTTGCACATTTTTCTGTATAAATGATGCAACACATTAATGCACAGCACATTATGAAAATGGTAATTCAAACCCATACAACTCTAAATTAAGCCATACATTATCCGACCCACTCAGCCATATATTTTGCAGAAAGACAGGATTGAATCAAATCAAACCGAAACTGTGGAGTGCAGGTTGTTAGACAGAATGATTAATAAAGTGCATCCCAGTGCTCTTATTATAAAATGAATTCCGCAATAACCTGGGCATACATTACACGGGGAGTTATTTAATACATTGGCAACGCAACCGTTCCCCAGCAGCTCCAGCCCAAGTGCCACCGCTATCAGATGATACTCGCACTGTTTACATGGTCTGGCCCCGCTGCTGCAGTCTTTAGGGAGGGGAAAAAGATTCCTCAGGGAGCCTCCTGTGCAGCAGGATGCACCCGAGCAGCATCCAGCTCGGAGGGAAGGTGCATGGGCTCGGTTTTGGAGCAGGGAGCATCCTGGAGAAAGGAGGGTTTGGGGCAGACAGGGCTTTGCCATAAGGAGAGGGACGCACCCGGCAGCTCTGGGAGAGGGGGCTCTGGCAGGACAGGGGCTGTGCAGCCCCTCTCCCCCTGCCCAGGCTGCTCCACGGCTGGCACGTGGCACGGCCCCAGCAGCCCGGAGACCCGGGAGCCGCCGTGCCGGGCGTGCTGGTTTTGGCACCACACTGGGCCATCGCGCCTCCGGCACGTCCCGGGCACTGCGGCATCGCCCTCCCGCCCCGCGGGGCACGAGGCTCCCGGCGGCACCGGCAGCAGCGACCAGGCCACGGCCAGGGAGAGGCACCGTGGGGCGAAACGCCGGTGCAGGAACCTGCGACAGGCCCGGCATTTCGGAGCCGCAGACGAGGAGCTGTGATTTATGCCGGGGACGGGCGGTGCCTGAGCGAGGCCGATGCCGAGCGGCATTGCTGGCGACATCCAGGGAGCAGCGATGCTCCCGAGGGACACGGGGGTCTGGATACCTCCGATATGCCCCCGGAGGGGACGGCAGCACTGGAGCTGCTCTGCCCCATTGCCCTGCAACGTCCTGCCAACAGCCTCAGCAAAGCCCCCCTGCTCCAACCTCACTTCTGCAAAGCCCAGGCCCTCCTCCAGCAAACATCCTGCCTGGAAGGAGCGGGACCACCGCAGGCAGAGCCAGACCCCAGCCACATCCACACAGGGCAAGGGTCAGCCATAGACCCCCCAAAAGAGCCTTCCCCAGCCTTGAGGAGCTCGGAATGGTGCTGCCCACCCCTCTGCTGGCCGAGGGGTGACTGGCCTCTGGACCACCAGCCTCTCCCACTGCCACAGGAGACCCCAGCCAAGCCCTCCTGCCGGCCACACGCCCCCAGCCGCGCTCGAGGAACGGGCAGGAAAATAGAAAATCCCTTTGGCAAAAGCAGTCCCTGTTCCCAGCACGTTATTTTTCAGCTCAGAGGGCACAAAGGAATTTAAACACAGGGCATAAAGCAATATTGAGAAGGCAATTAACAGGGATTAATTGCGTGACTCACCCGAAATGCAACAGGAGTGAGGCAGAAAAAACAAGTGGTGTGGGGCAATGGGGCGCGGGGGTTTCCACCAGGGAGTGGGGGCTCGGCCGGGGGTCCCACTGCTGGAGTAAAAGCCCTTTCCTTGGGGAATGGGATGGGCAGGTGGGTGGCAGCCCCCTGCCTGGCACAGCCCCCTGCCCGGCCGAGCCCCCCAACACAGCGGGGATGGAGCCAGAGCGACGCCAGAGCCATTCATCACCCCCATCTCCTGGCACAAAGATCAAACGGGGGGGACAGGACCCCCACCAGCTCCCGGGGGCCCTCACACCGAGGTCTGGGACCCTGCTCCTACCGCAATTCCACCCCTAAAACCGCACCCCCGCTGTGCTTGGGGGGGGTGCGACCACCCGCTCCCCACAGCGACTCGGGGGCACCGGGGCTCCCGCATCGATCCCCGCTCAAACACCTTCTCGAACCTTCCCTCCGCCGCCCCGCGTGGGAACACCGGGGGGCACGGACACGCGGGGAGGGGAGGGGGGGGGACGGAGAGGCACCGCGGCGGCTCGGAGCCCCCCCGGAGCCCTCCCCGAGCCCCCCGGGGCCGCGCTCGGGGCTCCGGTGCTCGGTCCCCGCGGGGCTCCGGTGCCCGGGACCCGCCACCACTAGATGGTGCTGAGACCCCGCGGCCCCGGGCGGACCCCCCCGGGAGGGACGAGACGAGACCAGAGCGTGGGTTACAACCAAGAGCCGTTTATTAACAAAATCAGACTTACCGGGGCTCGTCCGCCCGCCCGGGGCCGCCGGTCCTGCCGCTGCGCCCGCCGCTCCTCGAGCCCCCCCCGGGCTGGGGGCGGGTGGGGGGACACACGCGGGGGTCCTGCAGCCCCACGGCGGGGCACGGCCGCGGGGGGAAGCACGGCTTGAGCTGGGGAGCAACCATCGCCCAGCCGGCATCCATACAGATTTCCCCCTCCCCCGGGGCCCCCGGACACAGCGCAAAAAAAAAAAAAAAAAAAAAAGGAAAAAAAGTGAATTAAAAAAAAAAAAAACAACCAAAAATTTAAAAAGGCGAAAAAAAAATAAAAAAAAAATTAAAACGGAAAAAGGAAAAAATTAAAAAAAAGGAAAAAAATTACAAAAAAAGAGAGTTATATCTGCAAATTACAAACGCAGAGAACAGAATTCCAGAGCGACAAATGCGGAGGGGGAGGAGGAAAACGCCTTTTTTTTTTTTTTTTCTTTTCCATGTGTGGCAGGAGTCATGCAAGAATTTCTCAGGGGGGAAATTAAGAAGGGGGAAGGAAAAAAAAATATTCAAAAGAAACAAGAAGGGGGGGGAGAAAAAAAA